CGATACTATACTTTGGGGAAGGGGAGGGGGGATGTACCGTCTAGTTGCTCGTAAAAGCGGAGGATCGTCGCTGCGGTTAGCACGTCTTCGTTGTAGTCTTCGTTGGGGTCTTTGGAGATCTCGATCAGGTAGGAGATGCAGATGTTGTGGTACCGGATCGCCGAGTCTTCGCTGAGACCTGGTAGTGGGATGCCGTCGAAGATGACGGTGCCGTTGCTGTTGTTGCGGCATTTTAGGGCTTGTCGCATGTGGCCGGCGGATGCTGTCAAGAGGGCATATCGGAGTACTGGGCAGAACATGGCTCGGCCGGGGACTGTCAGGGTGAAATGTCGGTCCCGGTCGGTTGAGTCGAACTGCGGGTGGTTAGCTGTTTGCTCCGGATGATCATGTATCGTTTTGTTCGTGTGATGGGGATGGAGAGGGTACCCAATGAGCTAGCTTCTCCACGAAATAGCGTATCAAGCATGCTTCCTGGAGGTCACTGGTGTAGGAGGCGTCCGAGAAGGTTTGGGGAACGCCTTTCAAAGGCCCCAGACGGTAATGATCTCGCTGTGTCGGGAAAGCATTTAGGGGTTGGTTGGTAGGTTGGGATAAGCAGTCATATGCAGAAGTGTGGGCATAGTAAGACGCTGACTGTGGAGACGGTTCATTAGAGCCTGCGACTGCATTGAAACTGGAAATGCTATAGTGTCTTGAGTTTCGATGGCTCTGTCCAAGCCCTTCTCCATGGGGGTCATGGCTAGTGTTCGCGCAGGTAGATGCTGGAAGTGAATGTGGTTTCTGGCCCTTTCTCCATATCATGGAGCTGGGTGATGGAGAAGCATTAGAGCCGGCGGCATCAGGCTGGCTCTCTTCAGCGTCATCATCTTCGTCGTCGTCATCGCTTTCCTGACGACCGTCCGGATTCACATGGACGTAGTGGAGTCGACCTTCGTATAGTCAGAATCGCGAACAGTAGGCCTATGTTTCCCAATGTAAGTGCAATGGGCGGGATGAATTACCTTTCCGAGGCAGGCCAACCCATTTCTGATCCGACGAGAAATGGAACCTGCGCTTCGGTATTGGCTCGTGTCGAAATTTGAAGCTCTTGGCGCTACGGTCACACTTTGAGCTGGCCTGTCTGCAGCTTTTGCAGGGGTTGCCTCCGTCGCCTATTGGGAGTAGTCAGCACCATAGGGTGACCTGTTCGCACGAGTACCCTGGCTAGAAGACTCACATCGCAAATGCCGATCTGGATGCTCTGACGTTAGCGGCGTGGAATTCTACCCTTTACGGATGGCAGTGCTGACCTTTGCATCTCCTACACGCAGCCGGCCTGTGCTTTCCAGAACTGCTCATTTCCTATATCTGGTTGAGGGCTAGAGATAACCACATGGTCATGGACATGGTGGTTGAACATGCGTTGCGGGGGCAAAACTGTGGGGAAACTTGGGGTAAAATTTCCCCGCTTGGTTGCCGGCCAAATGCTTTTGGGCAAATCAGAGACCGACAAGGCTGACCTCCCACTTCTGGAAAAGGAAGCATTTCCCCATTGGGATGGTTAGGGCTTCCCCGTTCAATCGCTTCATCTGCATGAGATCAACATCGCGGTTGAGTCTATCTGGTTAATCTTTCTGCATGGGCGAACGGCGAGACCCTCAATAGCCTTTTCGGGAAGCTTGGACCTTACTCTCTGCAGTCTTACTTGTTCAGGATGAGGTCACGGTCGGGAAATGAGATTCATATACCGATATTCTGAAATGGTATATATAGACTGAGGAAGTGACCGGGAGTTGTGAACTAACTCTCAGCTCGCAGAATCGTCCCCAAAATGCCGGGAATCTATGTTTTGGCTGCTGCTGGTGCTCTTGTCCTGGGGGCAGGGTACGTGTTCGTTCTTCCGATCGTATACTACTTCTACGACCCTAAAGGGTTTCGCAAATACCCAAACTTCGCCCCCTTAGCGGGTATCACCGACCTTCCTTACTGCTACCTAAGCTCGTGTGGATATCGTTCCAAAGACCTACACGAAGCGCACAAAAATGCACCAATATTGCGCATTGGGCCCAACTCCCTCTCCTTCGGCCGTATCGGTGCGGTCAAGGATATGTACGGCCACAACACACCGTGCGTCAAAGACATCAAATATGCCATGACATGGGGCTCTCATACGCACCTCTTCGACGTCATCGACAAAGCGGACCACGCCGAGAAGCGGAAGCGAATGTCTTCCGCTTTCGCCATCAAGAACCTGGAGAGATGGGAGCACAAGGTGGCCAACGTTACCGGCCGTCTTGTCAAAGCGTTGGACGCGCACTGTACACTCCCGCTGCTTCCAGGCCAGACAGAACCCCTAGCGGCAGATCTCACGTTGGACTACAATAAGTGGATCAACCTGTTCACGATCGAGGCGATTAATCTCATCGCCCTTTCGTCTACCCTCGGACTGCTGGAGAAGGGATCCGATGAGGTTACCGCGCAGAGAAAGGATGGGACAACATACCCGGCTCGGTATCGCAAGTCTCAGGATAGCACCGCACACGCGCAGTCACTCTTCGTTTGGGATTATAAGTACTTCCATTGGCTTTCTAGATTATCAAAGTTGGTTCCCAAATACCGCCAGATGTGGAAAGATGGGGAGCCGTGGGGCGACGTGATCTACCACCAAGCAGCTACTCGGCTACAGCGGTACCAGAGCGGGGAGAAACTGGATGATTTCTTCTCCTCGCTCATGGACGATAAGGCAGGCCACCCCAATAACCTCGAATGGGGCGAGATCGTCGCCGAAGTAGGCGCGATCATCAACGCCGGGGCCGACACCACGGCGATTGCCCTAACGCAAGTCTTGGATATGTTGATCAGACATCCGAAGTACCTGCACAGACTGCGGGAAGAGGTGGACAGCGCCCTGGACGAAGATGAAGTGGTCGCACCATACGATAAGGTGAAGAACCTTCCGTTCCTACGCGCTTGTTTAGACGAAGCATTGCGCCTGATCCCCCCTACATCAGCTGGACTTCCCCGACGGACCCCGCCAGAAGGGGCTCAGATCTTGAACGAATGGATCCCGGGTGACACCAGTGTGTCGATGACAAGTTATTCGGCTCATCGGGATCCTGAAATTTTCCCTAATCCCGAGGAATACAACCCGGACCGATGGATGGACTTGGACAACCGGAGGCGCATGGAGCCGTACTTTGTACCGTTCTCGACGGGGGCCCGGGGGTGTCTCGGACGGAATATCACGTATCTTGAGCAGACTGTTGTGCTTGCAACACTGGTGCATCGGTATGACTTTGCGCTGCCGGCTAATTGGAAGCTCGATCGGTTCGAGGCGTTCAACCTGATCATGGGTGAGATGCCGATGAAGATCTGGCGAAGGGAAACGGCATGACTGCGTTAGAATAGATATCTATGGTAGACGACGTTAATGAAATTGAGGATCATGAGTATGGTACAATTGTCCACTTTTGCTATTCGAGACCGGATCTAGTGGCTTTAGTGTCTGTTCACGATGGAGAAGTGGATACAGACAAGCATTCCGAGTACAAGTGGACCACGATTAGTTCATATACTACCCACGGACATTTAACCTAGCACCCTGATTAACAAGCCGTTGAAGCATAACCTCAGACTTCCAGGGATGGATGACTATCACCATATTCTAAATCCAGAAAGGATTCTTCCAAAGTTGGACCAAACAGGGATCATGCATGTATTTTAGCCGGAAAGCCGTGCGAAGGGGAATCGGCAGCCAAGACTGCCCAACGCTCGCCTTCATTAAATTGCGGAGACAAGCATCCTCAGGCCATTCGTGGATCATTCCTTAATTTATCTTCCGTGCGCTTTAGCCGGACTGATAGTTGCTGGCGGCATGCATCGTGATTATCCGAAAGCCTGTTGCCCGTCTCCCAATCTCTCATTCTTCATCCTTTATTTGTTCAACGCGATCCATTTGATCCACTCAAGATGCCGGTGATACCTTACTCGATTCCCCCGGAGAATCATCGGCGCCTGACATCATGAGAGCTATACGACGCTTGGATTCGACCCGGAGCCACTTCCTTAATTAAAGCTGGCCTGTGTGGAGAGCTCGCCTTGGCCTGCTGTTCGGACTGTGTGGGGTTTAATACTTTTTCTCCATGAGCTCATTTCATTTCTCCGGCGGGCTAACCCATGCTGAGAAAATGGCCTGGAATTTAAAGTCGTCGCATTTCTCCTCGTTGGGCCTGCGTGGAGGCCGACACAATTACTCAAGGGAGCTCGTCTTCGTCGAGAAAAATGGTTTCCGGTGTCTTTACGAAGGGGCTTCTGCTCCTGGGCCTCTTGTCCGGCCTGTCGCTTGGTCAAGATGAGAAACCTCGCTACAAGGATCCCAGTGCTCCGGTGGAGGAGCGCGTCAGCGACTTACTGGGTCGCATGACGCTCGAGGAGAAGATGTCTCAATTGATTCAGGGTGCGATTGGAACTGTCCATCTTTTACCAACAGCTGTATGGTGGACGTATTAATTGATTATTGCAGGCGATATCACCAACTGGATGAATGATACCACTGGAGAGTTTAACCTCACGGGTTTGGAATGGAGCACGAAAATGAGGGGTGGAATGTTCTACGGTAGGCAATTGACCTCTCCATATTATTATCGCAGTAACTAACGAGCGATGGTTCTCAGTTGGATATCCCGTGCCGTGGGATTTCATCGCAGATAATGTCAAGAGAGCTCAGGACTATATTCTCCAGAACACCACGCTGGGAATCCCCGCCATTGTTCAAACCGAGTGTATGTTCTCGTCATGTTGGATTCGCTGAAACATGCGCTGACAGCCTTGGATCCCATAGCTCTCCACGGATTCTTAATCGGCAATGCAACGATTTACAACTCCCCCATCGGATTCGCATGCTCGTTCAACCCGGAGGTGAGCCCCTCCACGACTCAGACCCCCAGACCAGCGAAGCTAACACACAATTCCAGCTGATCGAAAAGATGGCGCGCCTCATCAGTCAGGAGGCCACAGCCCTTGGAGTCAACCACCTGATGGGACCGGTGGTTGATCTTGCCCGTGAACTGCGATTCGGAAGAGTAGGCCTTTGCACTACGTTCCCTTAATAGCACAGACCTAACCGTCGCTTACAGGTGGAAGAGACATACGGCGAAGACCCGTATCTCGCAGGCGAAATCGGATATCACTATACCAAGGGAATCCAAAGTCACAATGTCTCCGCCAACGTCAAGCACTTTGTGGGATTCTCACAGCCCGAACAGGGCCTGAACACTGCACCGGTCCACGGTGGAGAGAGATATCTGCGCACTACGTATGTCCTCTGTTCTAATCGACTAAGGTTCCACCAAGCAGTGGGCTAATCAATTCGGTATAGTTGGTTGCCGTCGTTCAAGCGCGCGATTATGGATGCCGGCGCATGGAGTATCATGAGTGCGTACCACTCGTAAGTATACATTTCGGTCATGAATATGATCTCCCTTCACTCTATTTCTAACCATATATAGATACGACGGCATCCCCGCCGTAGCTGACTACCACACCCTCACCGAGATCCTGCGCGAAGAATGGGGCTTCAAATACTGGGTGACCAGCGACGCCGGCGCAACCGACAGACTCTGCACAGCCTTCAAGCTCTGCCGTGCCGACCCCATCGACAAGGAAGCCGTGACGCTGGCCGTGCTGCCAGCCGGGAACGACGTCGAGATGGGCGGCGGCTCATAGTGAGTGCCATTCCGCCAATCAGTTCAACTGATGAATGCCTAACACGAGACAGCAACTTCGAAACGATCGTCGACCTGGTCAACACCGGCAAGCTCGATATTGAAATCGTCGACACGGCCGTGTCGCGTTTGCTCCGGGCGAAGTTCGAAATGGGTCTCTTCGAGAACCCCTATAACGGTGCCCCGGCGTCTGACTGGCACAAGCTCATCCATACGCAGGAGGCGGTTGATCTTGCCCGCGAGCTGGATCGGGAGTCGATCGTTCTGCTGGAGAACCATGATAACGCGCTCCCCTTGAAGAAGAGCGGCAGCATTGCTGTTATCGGGCCCATGGCGCATGGGTTCATGAACGTGAGTCCTTGCTGGTCTTCTTGCGGCCCATACATAATATCCCAGGGAGAATGCTAACTAACGCACACGCACAGTACGGAGACTACGTCGTCTACGAAAGCCAGTACCGCGGCGTGACCCCATTAGACGGCATCAAGGCCGCCGTCGGCGACAAGGCGACAATCAACTACGCGCAGGGCTGCGAGCGCTGGAGCAACGACGAGTCCGGCTTCGCCGAGGCAGTCGAAGCAGCCCAGAAATCCGACGTAGCGGTCGTGGTCGTGGGCACCTGGTCTCGCGACCAGAAGGAGCTCTGGGCCGGCCTCAACGCAACGTAAGACCACACCCTCCCTCCCTCACTCACTCCCTCCCTCCACCTCCTTGGATCGACGAACTAACAACACGTCCCAGAACCGGCGAACACGTCGACGTGAACAGTCTCAATCTCGTCGGCGCGCAAGCACCCCTCATCAAAGCGATCGTCGACACGGGCGTGCCCACCGTGGTGGTCCTCTCGAGCGGCAAGCCGGTGACGGAACCGTGGCTCTCGAACAGCACGGCGGCGCTCGTCCAGCAGTTCTATCCCTCCGAACAGGGCGGCAATGCGCTCGCGACGTGCTCTTCGGCGACTACAACCCCTCCGGCAAACTGTCCGTCAGCTTCCCGCGCTCCGTCGGCGACCTGCCCATCTACTATGACTATCTGAACTCGGCGCGCGAGATCGGCGACGCAGGGTACGTGTATTCGAACGGGACGCTGGAATTTGGGCACCAGTATGCGCTTGGCAACCCCAAGGCGTGGTATCCGTTCGGGTATGGGAAGAGTTACTCCGGGTTCGAGTATGGGGCTGTGACGCTTGATAAGATGAATGTGACGGCGGCGGATACGGTGACGGTGAGTGTGGAGGTGAGGAATACGGATGCGGCGAGGGATGGCACGGAGGTCGTGCAGGTGTATGTGGTTGATGAGCTTGCGTCGGTGGTGGTGCCGAATCGGTTGCTGAAGGGGTTCAAGAAGGTGGTTATTCCTGCTGGGCAGAGTAAGACTGTGGAGATTCCGTTGAAGGTGCAGGATCTGGGCCTGTGGAATCTCCGCATGAAGTATGTTGTGGAGCCGGGGGCTTTTGGTGTGCTTGTGGGCAGTAGCTCTGAGGATATTCGGGGTAATGCTACTTTCTATGTGCAGTGATTAGGGTTGGTGTTGAGGTTGGTTTACGGTGGATTCGGATACAGATATTTTGAATTATACATTTATTTGCTCGGTTATCATTGATATGGCACTTTTTGTTGGACATGACTCGTAAATTACCGTGATTCATAGGCTGATGCGTACTATTTGCATGCCATTTTGCTCCCCGGATTTGCAGTGATCGAGTTGATATTGATCATGCAGTTCCTTCATAATAAACCCGAAAACAGTTCATGAACGCAGAATGGACAAATATAAGAGAAGAAATATGCGTGATGCGAAGTATCGTACATCTCTCAGAGAAAGTAATCGCCCATGCTTTGTGCAGGACCTTACGCTTGCAAACTCAACACGTCCTTTACACTCGATGGAACCAAACATGAAAATCAAGGCTCAGCTAGAGGAGTCGTTTTTGTTTTCAGGTTCATTGCTTGAGTTGGTATCGTTTTCGGTTCCTGCCTCGGCTTGCACTTGCGTGGTTTCATTCGCTTTCTGTGAGCTGGTACTGCCAGTCCGGACCGGCGTGCTAGGCTCTGCATAGCTGTTCCTATCTCCAGTTGACCTGCCCTCTCGCCGACTTTTTGCACCCTCCTTCAACTTCTCCCACCGATCTCTGTACTTTCCTAGGACGTTTCGTAGTTTGTCGTTCTCACGGCCAACCTTGTCGAGTTCCTTCTCGCTCTGCTGGATTAGCTCCTCGAGCTCTCTGATGCGTTGCTCTTGATCCGTGGCGGCTGGTGTGGAGAGGGGAGCGATAGGTGAAGCGACGGCAGGAGAAGACTGAGGGTAGTGCTCTGGAGATGGAACATTTTGATGACGCATTGCCCTCAGGGATTGCTGCAGAGCTACGGAAGATGATTGCGCGTTGACCTCCCACATGTGCAGACGTTTGGACAAAGTATCAGTCAGATGTTTCAGAGCTTGGTTTTCCATCTGCAGTTCCTCTAGGGTCTTAGGGCTCTGCATGCTGGTAAGCTTTTCTTTGCCTCGAGTGCCTCTGCCCTTGCTCCCCGTCATGCTCTGACGCATTTCGGGTGATGGCGGTGTCTCACGGGCGTCCACGAAGTCCTCGTCACCCTCGTCGAAACTACTTCTTCGAGCTTCCTTCTCAGCCCTGCTCAGGATTCCGGCATAGGAAACAGTTCCACCTGTTGTGGGCACGACGTAGAACGATTCCGCCGCGCTTCCTGTTCCCCCGCCCGTTGAATCTCGGACAGCACGTAATGCAGCGCGTGAAAATATTTTGTTGATATCGGTGTCCCCCGATTGGCCCTGGCGATCGGACACTGCAGGTTGACGATCCACCTTCGTATCTGCCGACGTTTTGCGAATAGATTCAGCCTTTTCTGACGCGTCTGAACCCAAAGGGAGGCCTGCGAAAGCCAAGGGTGCGGACAGCTTGGAAATAAGGCCTTCAAAGGTGGAATAGAACCGTTGGAATGGCTCGTCGGACGCGGCTTGTCTGTCCTTGTGATGGGATGATTCAACATCTGGAGGTACAAACTGTTGCGAGGTAATATCGGTAGGGCTGGCTGCAGGTTGGTTCCATGACTGCTTAGATGGCGTCCGGTTGGGGCGTTCCTTAGTCGCATAGGCCTGTCTTTCTCGTAGTCTGGCCTCACCGGTCCTGATCTTTGCCGGTCCCTCCGTCATCTTCGCCCCTGCCTGCTGTGAGGAAACTGTCGGTGACACCGGGGAACCATGGCGTGGCTGTGACGGAATGCCTCGAGCTGAAGCTAAATTGCTAGCGATTGACGAAGTCTCCCTTGCCGGTAGGCGAGCGTGTCCGAGTAGCTTGGGTGGGTGTTGTTGCGTATCTGTCTTCGCTCCCCCCGATTCTACAGTCACTTGTTGTATACTCGAGACAGCAGCGGCTGGGTTCTCATGCTGGAATCGCAAGATCTGGGCGAGCTTTTTATGGTGTTGCTCGAGAAGCTGTAGCGTCCTTAGGGCCTGTGTGATATGTACATGTGAGCGTCTGGCAAACCCTTAAGGAATAGCGGATGAGTATACTTCACGATCTGAACTTTTTTGGGCCGCTGCAGCAAACTCGCCCGCGGCCAGATCATGTTCCTCGCTCGCAGCAACTGGGTTTGACTTGCGGGTCTCCAGAACTGCATTCCGTGCATGGGTATGAGCCTTGAGCGGGGAGATTCTGTCAGGCTGGGTATACGACGCACAAAGCTCCCAGTGTTGGTTGATGACATACCAAGGTAAGCGGTGCAGTCTCCATGGCTGCCGGAGTCGCCTATCGCTCTCTCCAAGAGCGACCGTTTAGCTAACAGCCTTGATGGTGGACCATGGAATGAAAGAGTGACAAGCAACTTGCAGTCGCACCACACGAGTGACGACATTACCTGGATCACGAGCCTATACGGTAATTTACCAGTACCGTTACCGATCTTAGTCATCCAGGTCTAGATCGCATACTTTCGACACTCAAGAATGTACATAATACTTCTTACTACATAGTTACACCGTGTACACCATGCCATACTTGCACTGAAGGTAACCCCCTGTTGCAATCTTCTCCTACGTTACTATTCTCGGACTTTGGCCGCCTTTCCAGCCTGCGTAGCGTCGCAACCGCAGTTACCAAGTGTGTTGCAAGCGGCGATATTCTCCCGATCCGGTGCTGCAGGGTTCCTCGAGTATGGAAAGCAAACAGGGCAGAAAATGGTGTTGACAGAGCTATCGACGGGCTATTTTACCTAGCTCTGTTGACGTCAACTGAGCCCATACGGGCGTGTAACGCTGAATATAGAGGGCTCTGGGATGGACCTTTTCCCTACAGATTCTTACAAGTACTTGGCCGCTGCTCCAGGGCAATCGGATCCTAGAAACGCAGGGTGTATCTAGATACATTGGGTCATGTCCAAGATGTTTAAAACAAGCAATCATGCCTTCCTTGGGTTGTGGAATGAATGGACATGGGGAACAATTTAATGCCTGAATAAAACAAGGCCCCATCGTAGATTTGGGGTGACCACAGTTATGTGAGAGATTTGAGTGTAGCTTGGTGGTTGAAGGATTAGTACAACCCTCTTGATTTGTGTCAGAATGCGTCCATGGTAAGAGTACCAATCCCTTTTGCGGCACTATTCACTTGCCAAGTGAATAGATAGCCTGCACGGTGTAAATGTTACTGTAGTAACACTGAAACTTCAGTCACGCTCTCATAGCATCTATGCCCGAACCTGTATCTTAATAAAATGGCTCTTGTCAGAGAGAAGGTTAGACAAATTTTGGATCGCCCTCTTCCAGACCCGAAAGTTGGGCCACAATCAACAGTTTCGAGCATATTGCATGGCAAGTTCTGATATTCGGCTTCATTTCAAGATACGACCAAACAATCTTTTTGAAATAAGAATCAGTAGCAGGGATGTGAGTTTTGTACTATAGACCAGTCATTTATCACAGCAATGTGGCAGGGTCAGGGTCCTATCGCATCCCAAATGGATCCTTCAACGAATACTATGATGGGCCAGTCGCAGATTAAGCATCTGGTAGTGAATAATCTGTCTCTAAATCAGTGGGTCAATGAGTGATAGATACTAGTGATCATCATGGAAGAGCCAATAATCTTGTCCCTAAGTCAAGTAGGGCTATTAGTTATAGCAGTGACGTAGAAAACCCTCAGCGTGCTGTAATTTTTTGTGTGACTTATACTTCAAAAAAACGTAAGGAGTATTTTTATATATTTGCACCAATGACCAAGTTTGATCATTGAGAAAATTGCTTTTGAAGAGACAGCTTCTCAAATAAGATGTAGGATACATGTTCTGTGAGAAGTATTTGCATAGAAGACCCTATTTGCATCGATCCAAAAAAAAAAAAAAGGAATAAAGGAAGTAAGGAATAGCCTCAGATCCACTTGCGGAACCTGAGGACAGACCAAAAAAATCTCCCCGACTGGGAGTCGAACCCAGGTCTCCCGCGCTTGTTCTCGTATGAGATGACAAGCGGAAATCATGACCGTTAGACCATCGAGGACTTGTTGAGATCACAGTTTAATATTTTAATAATTGTATGAAAACAACCCTTTTGCGTAGGATACGCATATAGTTTCAACTCACGCAATCTGTACATTTTAGCTGTGCTCCTCAAGGGGCGAATGATAAGTTAGTTTCAATGACTGGTTTGAGCAATGACACTGAATTCTATTATTGGGTACATTATGACCATGCTTACAGCCTTCAATTCTTGAGCATTCTTTGGAAAATTATCGGGCCTCTGCATCAGCGTGACTACTCACATAGGTGCAAGTATCATATCAATGGGGGGCATGGCTTGCCACGCAGCATATTGCCTGGGATATTGGATCCGCAGTGGCGAGTAACCTGTAAGAAAGTTGTCCTTCCTTCTATGGCACTCTTACTCCTCAACGAAAAGCCTGCTAGTGTTGATGTTGAGACCGAGAAATGATCTTCAACTTCCCTAGTAGTAGAACACTCCCTATACAGCTTCCATAAACATGATTTGATACTGTAACTTGAATAATACTGCCCAGGTACATTACATTATAGCAACACGATACAAGTTCTAGGGACTTCCAAGGGGTATCCTCCTGGAGACCTCACCCTTTTGTTCACCCTCGACCAGGACCTAAATAAAGCCCATATTAAAAAATGAGGTGGGTGTAGAGGATATTAAGATATAATATGCAATATCTCATGAGACAACCAGGAATAGCACAGAACATAGCTTACTAAATCTACATAACTTATGATGTTTGGAAGAAAGTTACTTAGTAACTAGCTACGCCTGATACATGATAAGGAGTTGCTTTTCTACTTATTTAAGGTTGAAGATATACTCCATACTACTTGAGTCAACCAAACCTTGCAGATCCCTGCATCATGCCTGCATCGGTGATGGTATGATTGTACAGGGGTATTTATATTAAGACCCTGATCAATGCACCTGTATTTTAATGAGACAATCCTCATTAAGCCTGCTAGGAAACGAGTACGAAGACCACACATTCATAGACCCCTCTTAGCTACGAATACGAGTCTCATCACGTACAGCCACAACTTGGCACGAGATAGCTAAGGGGTTGAGCATACGGAGTACTAAATACTCGCAACAGCACTGTTGGGCGGGTCGGAGACTGGATACCTCCGAGTGGGGTTCTCTCACAGCAGAGTTGCCCCTGATAGTCCGATGCTAGGTAGAATCCGTCAATCTCAATCATGTCTGTCCTCCTTGAGCCGTGCGATCTAAACGGAAGAGAATCCTGTGTTATTTTCAGTGATTTAAATAAATAGAACAGGAATATTACGTGTCTATTAATAGGTCCGTCTTGGCGCTTATCTATAGGTGAGTATGAATGTGAGTTGTGCGAATAGTGGCCCTGAAACGATCACATATGTTTCGGAGAGTAGTTCAAACTTAGTGTATGCATATTCTCCTCAGAAAAATGGGCGATTTTAGTACCTCCACCCAGATTTGGGCATGGGTTGATAAAAATAGGGTTAATGATCGTCATGTTACCCCTGATGGCTGAGTCAGCCCATAAGGCTTAGACGCTAGTCCCGAAGTAGTAAGTCAGCAGTTTGTCCACCACCAATACTACTCCAGAACGAGTTACGTCCGTCACCTCGACGGCGGAGTTGACGTTCACTGATCGCTTCGTCATTCCCATTCTCTCTCCCCCCCCCATTCTCCGCTCGCCTTTCCCCTTCACCACCACTTTATTCTCATTTTACTTCATCAGTACTCTTGTACTGTCTCTTCTGCCCTTAACTTATTCACCAGAAGAGGAGAGAAGACTAATCTGATGGCTTCCCGACCGGCGGTATCTTTCCCCTCCGTCTAGCTTCATACGCTCCTATCAGGAACTATTTCGACGCGGGACACGCTGTACTCTACCATGTACATTTGCCCTCAACACTTCACAACTCTCTCGTCTTTGACCACTCTTGCGATTTTGCCCGAATTACCTTTCTTCCGCTAAATCTGAATCGGATTCGATTCCCTCCGATTCCCCATGGCCGACAGTTCCCTAAACCCCGAAGCCCATCCAGCTTCCTCCTCAGACATGCAGAGTATCGGCAAACTTAACCGCTCGAAAACTTCTATTGATGATGCATTAGGGAGCTCTGGCAGGAGCAATGGCCGCTCGTCGTCGATCGACTCTACTTCCGACAGACCCAAATCTCAAGCGGGCGAAGGAACTGATTCTGCAAAGGCTGGCCCCAGCGGATTTTCAAAACTCCTTGCTGCTAGGAAAAAGCGCAAGAAGAAGGAGAGCCAAAAGGCGACAGAAGAGCTGCCGACACAATTTGAATTGGAAGGGGAGAAAGATGGACAAGATAGACCACATGAACCTTCCGAGGACAGGCCTTCATCCGCAGCTAACAACGAAGGCCAAAATCCCCAAGATGATGCTGCTAATCTATTGACTGATGACTCTGAACCTGAGCGGTGAGTCGTACCCGTTACATCTGACGCTGTATCGCCGAGAAATAACAGAGTACTGATTAGCCATTATTTGTCCAGGACCCCTCCTCTCACTACTCGAAAGTCCCACACTGGTTTCTACACGACATCCTCACCATTGATAAAGACTGAATCTACGGATGCGAATGACACTGATAGTGCCCAGGCGGATATAGAATCTGCTGTTAGTGGGCCAAGTGCCACTGCCCATTCTGAGTCCAATGCGGATACAGAGCTCTCGAGGCCCCCTTCTCAACCAAGCTCGACATTGGGTGTCCCAGAAGATCGTGGCGGTAAGAAAAGAAGCGTCTCACCAGGGAGACGGTGGAAAGGCGCATTCGGCTCGAGCCAGGATAAAAAAGATTCCAGTCGTGATCGGTCATCTTCTACCACAAGTGAGGGCAAGAAAGGCGGAGGTCTATTCGGAAGCAGTAGGAGAAGCAGTACATCATCAAAGAAAGGCCCAACTATAGTCGCCGAGTCTCCTCCGCCTCTGCCACCTCTAATTCATACAGACATCAAGGAAGAGAAACCTGTACAGCCCTCAGATCACGCTGCTCCAAGCACACCTCCCCGCCGTACTATCCCAGCACCCCGCACTACGCTGACTCCACCCACCCCTCGAACTGAAGCTGCCGCTAATCTCTACTCGTCTCCGGATGTCACCGAATCGCCTGACTCTTTGAAAGGGAAAGACCCGCTGCCACCGGGCATTGTCGTAAGTCCGTCAGGGAACATGATCTCACACCGGCGTGTACGGTCTGCTTCTTCCGTTAGTCACAAGCCCAGTAAGCTGTCTAACTCAATATCCGCTCTGGGTCCAACTGTTGAAGAAGCGAAGGTGGCCTCGAAGACCAACCCTGGCGCCCAACAAAGTGGATTTTTCTCTTCTGTCTTTAGTGCGGCACAAAACGCTGCCTCATCGCTAAGCAGCAGCCTCAATACTCAGCCAAAGACCCGCAGCCCCTCTCAGCAGGTTTCCACGGAGCCTGAGAATGTCTCGACTACGGAGGGAGGAAGTAGCCAGAACGAGACGCAGGAACCTAGCAAAACCGAACAGAAAAAGCCATTGGCAATTGAGACATTAGGATCCGGGGATCTTGACTTCAGCCACCTGGATATTGCTGTGCCGCCTGGTGGATCCGTCTCAACACCCGACGGCGTTGTCATAACCAAGCCGGACATACCATCCGAGAAGCGCAAGAACACCGCAGTCCATCAGCGAGATGAAGAGGCCGCAAGGCTTGAAGATCGACATGCTGCGCGTGCGGTCACCATGGCCTATGAGAAGCCATCAGAGGTTTCGGTGGTCCCGCCATCGGATGAGAGTCTAGAACTACAATCTACAAGCTCGCTTCCGAGAGACGCCACCGGCGACCATACCTCTCCAAGTGGCAGCGTACTAGATGGCGAAATTAACGTTCGACCTTCTCGCAGTGGAAGCGTACGCAGCCGCCTGACTCGACGGCGTCATCGAGGCTCATCAGCGGCAACGGCATCAACAGCAGCTGCTGTCGGGGCTAGTGCGATGCCACTAGGGATACCAGGTGGTAATTCAAGTGTGCCACGGCTGACTGGGTTTGCTGTTGCCAGTAAAAAGCGGAACAGGGACTTCCATCAACTGTTCCGCAGCGTTCCTGAGGATGATTATTTGATCGAGGATTATAGCTGTGCCTTGCAACGAGAAATCATCCTGGCCGGACGGATCTACGTATCGGAGGGTCACATTTGCTTTTCGAGCAATATCTTGGGCTGGGTGACAACCCTAGTTATCAGCTTTGACGAGATCGTTGCGATAGAGAAAGAGTCAACAGCGATGGTATTCCCTAACGCAATTGCCATTCAAACTTTGCATGCTCGTCACACTTTCCGAAGCTTGCTCAGCCGAGAGTCTACCTACGATCTGATGGTCAACATTTGGAAGATAAACCATCCGGCCCTCAAGAGCTCTGTAAATGGCACCAGAGTCGCCCAGGGTACAGGGGACAAAACTGAGAAGGCCGGAGAAGAGAGCGATGGTGGGAGCGAAGATGAAGACGAGATTTACGATGAGGACGAAGACGGTGATAACGCTGATAGTTTCTTTGAACCTGGTGATGCCAGCGTCAATGGAAGTGATAGGTCACTGCCGCTCAAGGGTCTCAGCCGACAAGCTTCTGGGAACCTTCCAGTCAATGGCACAGCCCCGACAACGTCCAATACAAATGGTGACTCTCGAGGCGGAAAATCGTCAAACGAGAACTCAGGTGGAGACTTCCCTGGCCCTGCTACCCATGGTCCCACGACGTACACCGATCCCGCAGGCCAGTATGATAAAGTGATTAAGGATGAGATTATTCCTGCTCCTCTTGGGAAGGTCTATTCTTATGTGTTTGGACCGGCATCGACAAACTTTATGCCCAAATTTCTTGTAGACAATCAGAAATCCGGCGACCTTCAGTTCGATATTGAAAGCGGTGGTCTAACCAACGACAACAGGACGAGACAATACTCGTACATCAAGCCGCTTAATGGGTCTATCGGACCTAGACAAACCAAATGTATCAGTACTGAAACTCTGGATTTCTTAGACTTGGAGAAGGCAGTTCTCGTTACACTAAGCACTCAGACCCCCGATGTACCAAGTGGTAATGTTTTCTGCACCAAGACAAAGTACCTGTTCACCTGGGCCGCAAACAACCAAACACGTTTCTTAATGACCTGCACCATTGAATGGTCCGGCAAAAGTTGGCTGAAAGGTAAGTTCGTTACTATTCTCGAGTTTATGACCAGCGAACTGATGTGGTTTAGGCCCTATTGAAAAGGGTGCTATTGATGGTCAGGGGACATTTGGGAACGACCTCATCGGTGCGCTCAGAGCTGCTGTTGCGCCTCGTGCTCGTGCTACCTCTAAGGCAGGAGGTAAAGGGAAAGGACGCCGCAAGAAGGGAGATATTGCCAACGAGGAAGCGGCAGCTGCTGCTGCCCAAGCAGCAAGCCATGCGACCAAGCAACAGGCGCAGACTTGGGGACCTCTGGAACCCATACACGGAGTTTTGGAGCCTGTAGTTGGTATTCTTAAGCCCCTGTGGAACGGAAACTTGGCAGTCCTAGTTATCGGCATATTGCTCTTCCTGATCTTTTTCCGGGCACCCTCACAACCGTCAATGTTGTCACACGACATTGGATGTCCTGGCTATTCATTACCCCAGCGACTGGCCGCTTATGAGGAGATGTGGAGAAGAGAGGAGAGCGAGCTGTGGAATTGGTTGGAGGACCGTGTGGGGATGGACGGCATGGTCTTCCCAACTGTCAACAGGCCAGGCGAGTCACGGGCGCATGAAAGAGCTCGAAAATTCCAGAGCGGGCGTGACTTCATCAACAAGGTAGACGAAGACAAGATGTCAGTGCGCGAGATGGACCACGCTATACGCACCACCCGCGAAAAGCTCGACACTCTTGAAAAGATCTTGGCCAATCGGAAAATGCAAGCGGCGGCAGGAGAGGACAATATACATTCGGAGTTGTAAGAAGGCGGGTTGCCTGTCGAGTCTGCTTTGGAAGATGCAGCCAAGACGAAAGGGACAACGACAGAAGAACTTTATATCCTGAACTCTTGTACAGTTGAGTTCAGTATCATTCACTTTACATTTCCTATTTCGATGTTGGGATTTATCGTCTTTTTATTCCCAGCGGGTGCTTGGTGTTTGGGTTTCCATATAACTTTGCCCTCCCGCATCCAATTATCAGGTCATTTCCGACAAGAATCAGTGATTGATTTGCATACTGCTGAGCGGAGCATTATCTTTCCTTTCTTTGTGTTTCTATATTGGCTTTGGATTTGTTCAGACTAGCTCTCGGGAGAGTTACTTTGTACATGTACACCCACTCTCTGTTTATACAACAATCTCAAAATAACTTTTCCTTTTGTTTCATTTGGGACTATCTCTGCTCTTGTAGTGTCTTTTTGGATCTTTTTAGATTTGTACGCATGGTCCACTATGCTGTTTGGTCTTGAACGTAGTATACCAGTGCTCCTAACAACAAGATAAGATCTTAGGATGGCCACTGAGCCTGCTTGTGTCAAGATTATCCCAGTGGCTATTTTCTTGAGAAAACCAAGGTGCGGTATGTATGTTTCCAGTAATACATCGACGGGGCATTGTTTATGCCATCTGGGTGGTTTACGGCAGGTTGTAGAATATAGTAGGACAGGATTTGTCTAGCAAAAGCAACAACTCAAAGCCATTGAAAAGTTCTCAGAAGGTTATCAAGTCTTGTGTATAGTACAGCATAAAACTCAACAGGGCACAAGACAGCATTACATTCGTATAAAATATGCCAAAGCTAGATCGCACATCAATAGCATGATAAGCAAAGCAACAAAAAAATAGCGTACATCATAAATATATGAACATCGAAGAAAGGAACCAAACTAATGAGATATCATAGAGCAAATTCGGAGTCGTAGTTGTATCTTCGTGTATGATTTAGAAAGAGCTCATGCGGTCGTTAAAGGTTTATGAGATGGTCTCGGAAGGCGAGGTCTTTTCTATGTTCCCTCATAGGGCTTAGGGCGCGAGGAAACCGAGAATCGTGGTTCGTCCTCTTCTTCAATTTTTTGGTGCCGCTTCTTTTTCTTTTTGTTGACCTTCTTCATTGCTTCCCTAGTGAGTTGCTCACGGAACAGCCGTTCCACCACATCCTTCTTCCGGGTCTTTCGGTCGCCGATCATGATTAGGATGCCGCCGGTGATATTGCAAGTAAGTGAACAACAAAGAATGACAGTAGTTAGGGCGAAGGGGCGGTGGTGATAACTGATACCCCACGTGCAGGCGCCGAGCGCAATTTGAAGCATGGAGTGGCAGTCTAATAGGACGACAATGGCGATGAGCATGCGAAGAGGAAAGGCGTGGTGCGTCAGTGTTTCGTGCGGTTTATAGAAGGTATGAGACTTGGACAATTTGGTTTGATGGTGAACTAGCTTTTGTTGCTGCAGAGGGTTCAGCACAGAGAACTCATACTCCTCGTCTTTAGGCGTATCCCCGAATTCAACGTCGACATCGATCTCACGACGAGTGGGTAGATCATTTTTATCTTTTAGATCTGGCAGTTGACGCTTTTGACGGACTTTCCATGTTCGAAAAGTGTAGTGAGCAATAAAACACATGTGGTATGTGTCAATCGCACGGAACGGTGCCAGCCCGTCACCCATAATGGCGAACAAAGCAACAAGAACGTTGTCGATCACGTTGATGATGTATAGCTGCCGCCCACCAACATTAATCCAACCTGGCCACTTGGTTAGTGTATTGCGTAAAAAGGCCACGAGCCAGGAATAAGAGCCAGGGCCATACCGATCAGGAACAACACCCAAGCCAGACCGAAAAGAGTAATGAGGGTTGCGTATAGAGTGATGAGAAACCCGAGTGCTACAGGGCCAACGGTTAGTAAGCGGTTCAGCGCTGCAGCTGATCAGTACATACGTTTAGAAACATATTTCCCAAAGCCCTTCATCGCCCGCTTGAACTTCGAACGACGAGAATGCAACATGTGCCGGACATGATCGTTCAATTCTTCTATGTCTCTCGCAGACCAGCCCTCGAGATTGCTTCCTTCAGGTAACACGGCAAATTGTGGATCTTGTTTCCCCAACACTGCCGATAGACTCGTCAGAGGTCGTTCTAGTGACGGACGGCCCTCGGGCGATTTCTCAAATGCTTCCTCGCCCTCTTCTGTTTCCGTCGATTCCTCCCCGGTCGACTCCGAGGACTCCGAGGACTCTCTCGGTGGCGAAAGTGCATAGGTCGGGTTACGATTGATTAGCGGGCCCAGGTTGGGCACAAACAAGGAGTTTTGGACGTTTGTCAGGGTCGACAGTGCTGAAACTTCCGGGTCTGGCGAATGTTAGGGCATGTTACCACAGATGTTTGATTCGGAGCATACCAATAACATCCAAGACATCCACCACGTGGGGATGGTATTCATTGTCCGCGGTGTCAGCCTCTGATGGAGGAACAGCCCCGCTCGAGGCGCGGTTGCGCGAGAACCGGTTCATAGCTGCTTCACTCGTCCAACGCAGAAGACCCAGACTTCCTCGCCTTTGCACCCGGGCTGGGGGCTCTAAGGGATGTACTTCGGCGAACGGCCGATTCGCAGGAGTTAAATGGATTGGACTTGTATTTGTCGGCTCTTCCATCAAGGTATGCATTTGGTCTGGAGGGAGCCGGGGGAGGGCGGATGGATTGGGAGCAGACCACCTCCCCGGCCGCGGTTCGGAACTGCTGCGGCGACGATTTCCCTGCCATGCGTCCTCATCTGCGCCTTTGACGGGAGGCGGCGAGGTGACATTGATGCTTGAAGCATTACGAGGGTCCCGGGAGACACTCTGCTGGATTTGGGGGATAGCATTGTCCAACGAGGGTAGACGCTGAAGACGGATGGTAGGGCGGCGAGACCGGAGCGACGTCGCACGTTGTCGCCGCTGCAATGACGTCGGTTGAGTCGTGGACGGTGGCCTTGGAGCTTCTGCAGGAGGACCATCAGAACCATCGACAGGCTCTATATGATCCATTGCGAGAAGAACCCACTCTCAGCTTGGGGTGGGGGAATGAGATCAGTCAAACGAGTGAAAGTGGCACAGTTCAGGTAAAATATACGGAGAGAAAAAGTGGAAAACGTAGGGGAAAGAAGAGGAGAAGAAGGGTCCAATGTGAACTCTATTGCCATTGCTTGAGTAAGCGCGCCAAGCCGTGGGACTTGACTAACCTTATTCTGCTCGGCGTCTTGGTTGGCTGACAACTCACTCCAACCCCGTCGGCAGTTCTGGGCCTCCGTACGCGATATCAAAAAAGGTGGAGACGGGAGAGAGACGCACCGCAATAAATAACCCGGTCCTTCACAAAGACCTCAATCACAGTCATTTCAATAGACAAACAGTCATACATCAATAAAGAATGTTGCTTTGTGGTAGACTAGTCATCAGACACAGCGCCAGGTGTCATGGTTACCTGATACATCTTGTCTGCCTGGGCCAGAGACCTTCAGACCAACCGAACACAACTCCCACCTGAAGGTGTCAGAATAGAGTATTGGATTAGATATTAAGTGCCTCCACTATTCTTGACTGAGCTGCCATTGATCGACATGGCCAATGTCTTTGTTCAGAGAACAATAAACATGTCACCAGAAATCGACATTCACTGCTATTCATCGCATCTTACAACCCTAACTGGCTTTCGTGTTCTAACCTCACAACTATATGATTCTCTCTTCAGTCATCCTCTTAATTTCCACCTTCATCCATAAAGCTCTCACTCTATTTTCAGAAACAAGACATCTGACCAGTACGCTAAGACTACCAAGTTTCAGCAAGGTAGTGAGTGTACAATCACTAGTTGAAGGGCACCAAGACTATATGAAATGTTGGCTCTTCTGCAACATAGTTGATACTGACAGGATTACGATTTTACCAGCGAGACTGACTGACCATCCTTGCATGTTGCGAAATTATTCTCTCCTGTCAACCCAAACCTCTTGGGAAATGGCTACGAAGCGGCCTGCCTCGCCGGATGTGCGCTCCGACCAGCCCACAAAGAAAGTAAAAGTCATGCACGAGAACCAGGAGTGGATCCTTGACGAGGAAGAAATCCCTACCACCCCGTCTTCCCCACTGTCTCCCAGCGAGACCAACGATAGTTCTGCCGATGCAGAAACCTTGTCTGAATCCTCTGGTACGGACTCGGTCAAACCGTCTCCTTATACCGATGAGTTCTTTGCAGATATGGCCAATATCATTGCGAATCTCTTTCCTTTTGAAGCGTTTGCCAAAGCCCATGGCTGCACAGTTGGCGACGTTTCACAAGCGATTAGTGCCATGGTTGTTGCTCCTCTGTCTGACCCATCCTTCACCTGGCACAGTGATAGTGAGATCTCTATCGCTGAATATGGACGAGGCATGATCAGTATCTGGAACGAGCATTACGAGCGCAAGCTTCGAAACACTGATACGACGAAGTTAAATATCGATCTAACAACCCCCAAATGCTCCACGAGCTCTTCGGGAATTGAGACACCCTCGGAAGATGGGAGTGTCTTGTCAGAAAGCTTCAATAAAGCACTACTTGGAGAAACGTCGTCCGAAGATGAAGTGGAGCCCCCAGATAGCGAGGCACCGGGTCTATCAAAGAAGAGTTGTCTCAGCACACAGTCACAGAAAGCAGCGCGACGACCGGCCAAGAGGGTGAGATGGGCCCCTCCCCTCTCGCCGGTCGTCCGCGAGAAGGTGTACAAGGACGACTATGGCAACTATGTCCCGGTCCCGACACCAGAAGAGATCAAGGAGAAGGGGCGGAAAAAATTGCGAGAAGAAGTGCGGGCGAGCAAAGGGCTACTTGAACGGCCCGAACCAACGTATAGTGCATTCGACCTAGAGGTCCTTGCGAATTTTGACGACCTGGAATATGTGGTGTAGCCTGCACTCTGTACAATGATAATCCTAGGTCTTTCTTCTTCCTTGTTTTTTATTTATGTATTTTTCTTTCTTGCTTTCCCTTACTTGCTTTGTTGTTTATTGTTGTTTGCCAATAAGCGGGAACGCCGCCATAGCGTCAGGATTGACGTAGCTGCGGGCCTCTTGATCTGCGGTACATACGACTGATGTCGATTGAAGAATGGGGTACATTGTGTCTTTCAGGCATTCATTTTGATCTTTTTTATTTAATATTTTTAGAATAATTAGCAGAGATACTGGTGATTGATCCTTTCATAAAATACTATGTAATTAGTTCTTTGAGTTTCCCATGCAATTGAGTTACCGATATGCAAGATGTGTGAGGGGGATTTTGGTTGATCTCACATGACATTGCGTTTAGTAAGCTCTCAATTGGACCAAATTGGACCACATCCCAAATTCCAAGATTGTTGTGTGCTCCACCGGGTGATGGAGTACGAGAAAGGATCTCCTATCCACTCAAGATGGCCGAGGAGAGAGAGCGTGGAGAACCTATGACGGGATTTGACCAGATATATGGTGGCAAGTGGAGAACCCGGTGCTGGAAGATACGATGTGTTTTTGGTGATCTGGAATGTTCCCCCCAAGGAGGGGTAGAGTCCAGGGTGTGAATTGGGCGGTCAGAATGATCCCACCCGAAGAATGGGAGGGAACAATAAGAGAATTCCCATTGTATGGACATGTAAGTAGGGGATGGGGATAAGAAAAGATGGGGGTAGGAGGGCGATTTCCAGGTCATGTGCCCATCATGCGATCAATGAGTCAGATGTGTTGTTTTTTCTTTTTTGGGTTTGTTGCAGAAAATCTGCTAAACAACGGGCGGTGATGTCAGATGTGAGCGCTAAGCGCGACCCTAGCCCGTAGTGGGCGAAGGTGCCTGAAGACTGGCCAGACCGCCGCCTTCCAATCCCGTAGCTCCGTTGGGTGTCGAAGTGACTAACGACACGTCGTGATTACCGTTAGCATCGTCAACCTGAGGCCACCACATACCCGTCCTGGCTTAGCGTGCCACCCTCGCTGCCTGCCCTTTTTCTCTCTCCTTCTCCTTTCTGCCCCGTCGACTTCATCCTTCCTCTCAAGGCAAATCTCCATCGTGATCAACTAAGGATTTCCCCCGTCAACCACACGTATCTAGGGCACCAAGCTACCCTTTTCCTCCTCCCCCCTCTTCAAGTTACTCCCACCCATCCATTCAAGGAGTTTCAAGTACAGGCAGCCTTTAGCTACCCTGAGTCCTTGACAACACACAACCGGTCAGGTTTCCTCGCGATTTACACCAAGTATCTTCAACTCTCGACCTTGTGATCTCAGCCATCAAGATGTCTACTGCCGTCGAAAACCACGCCGACAACCAGGCCGCTACCACTCCCGCCGTCGCCGCCGCCACCACCACTGAGGCTACTACCAACGGCACTGCTCCTGCCGCCCCGGCGCAGTCCACCGATGCTGCTGCGGCCAGTGCTGATGAGGGACGTCGGCTGTACATTGGGAATCTCGCTTATGCGACCACTGAGGGGGAGCTCAAGGAGTTCTTCAAGAACTACAAGGTGTAAGTCTTGCACGTTGAGTTCCCCATCACCTTGTTTGTCAAGGTGTTGCTTTGTTTGGACATAAGGTTTCTTGGCCTGCCAGTATTAGTTGCAAGCCAAGGAGATCATCAATCCATCCCGCTTCCGTAGTTCCCAACTACTACAGGAGTATTCTCAGTTTCTTCTGTGAAGGGCTTGCCATGCCTCAATTGCATGCTCACCACTGAAGAAGCGCCGTCCAGCCGTGCCCTGCATTTCTAAAAATGATATAAGCTAGATGCTAACACAGATTTATTACAGTGAAAGTGTCTCCATCCCTGTGAACCCTCGTACCAACCGCCCTGTTGGATACGCCTTCGTGGATCTTGCTACTGCCAACGAGGCTACCTCTGCTATTGGTGAACTCTCTGGAAAGGAGATTCTCCAGCGCAAGGTTTCTGTTCAGCTGGCCCACAAGCCTGAGCCTGCCGAGGCCAAGGCCGAGGGTGCCGTAAGTGGCGGTGAGGGTGCCAGTGGCAATGAGGGCCGCAGGAGGACCGGAGGTCGTGGCCGTGGCCGTGGCCGCGGTCGCGGTCGTGGAGGTCGCCTCGGCCGTGGAGGCCGTGCTGTAAGTTTTCCAGTATTAGATGAACGCTAGATTCCTGGGATACTAACATCTTCCATAGCAGAACCAGCCCCAAAATGGCCAGGCTGCTGCTCCCGCCGAGCCTACCGACGTCCCCGGTCAGGCCGCTCCTCTGACTGAGACCACCAACCAGGCTGAAGCCGCTGCTACCTCTGACTCTGGTAAGCAGGCTGCTAAGCCTCGTCCCCGCCCCCAGAAGCAGCGCGGCCCCCCTGAGGATGGAATCCCTTCTAAGACCAAGGTTATGGTTGCCAACCTTCCTTATGATCTGAGTGAGGACAAGGTGTGTATATTTCTTGTTAGCGTTTGAATTTTAGTCGCTAAACCTTCCTACAGCTCAAGGAGATCTTCGCCGCCTACTCGCCCGTTTCCGCTAAGATCGCCCTGCGTCCTATTCCCCGCTTTATGATCAAGAAGCTCCAGGCCCGCAACGAGCGCCGCAAGGGCCGTGGCTTTGGCTTCGTCACTCTCGGCTCCGAGGAGCTCCAGGAGAAGGCTGTGAAGGAGATGAATGGCAAGGAGATCGAGGGCCGTGAGATTGCCGTCAAGGTCGCCATCGACAGCCCCGGCAAGGAAGACGATGTTGTTGCCACTCCCGCTACCGACGCCGAGAAGACTGAGCAGGCAACCGAAGCTCCAGCGCAGGAGAACGCTGCCCCGGCTGCTGCTTAAATGACAAGTCGTTCTCAACCAGAACGAATCAAAGATCTCGACATGCCCACTGTTAAGTCGGGATTTGTTGGAGGAAGAGAAAGGACCTTCGTGCGGATGATAACTTCATACTCTGCCGTCGAGGAGCGTTTTCACAAAAGTCAAAAAAAGGTAAAAAAGACAACGAGGCCAACTACAAAACGCAAAAGTTATCAAAATATTATTCCCGTTCGAATCGGTCACAGGGGACGAATTTACCATGAGGATGAGGCATTGATTATTTCCTATGTTTTTTGCGCACGAACTGCCGCGAGGCAATCGTGTGACTGGAGCGACGAGAGACACCGTAATGTGTGGTTTTCACGGAGACGTGACCTTTTGCTAACGACTATTGCCCTTCTGCTATCCTGTATCTTAGCAACCATTTAGTTTATGATTGATTAGCCGCAAGGCTGGCCTTGTAGTGATTGTTTCCTGGTGCCCTCCATGACTGATTAATCTGTCCCGCGTAGACAATTTAAGAGTTCATATGAGCCTGAAGATATATTCCTATTTCCTTTTTAGTTAAGCGTATCAGAACAAGGCTGCAAGACGAATGCAGTCATACTCAGGTATCCATTGGACTCCACAGGTGCCATAGGAACAGCGCGCGAAAGTGGAACTCTGCAGTGATCTCCCTATTTGAGGCCAATTAAGCCTGATTTTCCCCTCTTGGCGCCTCAATTAACTGCCAAAACCACATCACCACCCTGACACTTGAGCTTTTGGTAACCTGGGCCTTTCTCTGTTCTCTAACCTTAGCGCGAGGGAGCGACGAAGACACTACTATCAAACCGACTGCGAACTCGCATACTTCTGTGTACTCGGTGCGGAGAAAGAAAGCCCGGCATACTAACCGCAGAGAGGGGCGCTCCAGCCGATTCCACCTCCACACTGCCTAACCCTCGCGCCACCACAATACCCCTTAGGCACTTGGGGTTGAGATCAATTATCCTTCCTCGTTATATCCCTTATTTTCCAGTTTGACTGAATCAACATATTTTACTATCCATCATGTCGAAAATGTGGGAGGTAGACCCGGAGACGAAGGCGAAGGTATGCTATCTCAATCATTACCCTGTAAACGGCCAGGGTCATGGAACTAGATCTGTCTAATCTGTGTGATGATGTGTCCAGCTCCTCCAAATCTCCAAAACCAACGGAAACGATAAATGCTGCGACTGCGGCGCGCCATCGCCTCAATGGGTTTGTCTCCTACAACTCATTTCCGTCTATACCTACACCTGCACCTCAAACAGCCACCTCTTGTCATAACCTTCACTAATATGTCTCGGTCATTTTTTCTTGTTTCTACCAGGCCTCCCCTAAATTCGGAATATTTATCTGTCTCAATTGCGCAGGCACTCACCGCGGCCTGGGCGTCCACATCTCCTTCGTGCGATCGATCACCATGGACGCCTTCAAGATCGCCGAGATCCAACGTATGGAGCTCGGTGGTAACGAACCATGGAAGTCATTCTTCGATGACCACATCGTCACTCAGTCCGAAGGCCGTACATTCGAAGACTCCACCATCAAAGAGCGCTACGAAGGCGAAGTAGGCGAGGAATGGAAAGAGAGACTCTCCGCCAAAGTCGAGGGGCGAGAATACGTTCCGGGACAGAAACCACCACCCCAACCAAAGAAGCAACCCACCGTTGAACTCGCATCTTCGCGATCAAGCACACCGTTGGGTCGCGCCTCTCCTGCGTCGCATGATGGATTCGGAGGTATGGATGGTGGACGGAAAGAGCGTAACGAGGCATACTTTGCGAAAATGGGCTTGGAAAATGCCACGCGATCGGATTCCGTTCCACCATGCAGGGCGGGAAGTTCACTGGGTTTGGTGGTGGTCTGCCCGTTTCATCTGGACCGTCGAGAAATACATCCGGAGGAAATATTCCTGGTTTTGACGATTTTCAGAAAGATCCCATGGCCGCATTGACCAAAGGGTTCGGCTGGTTTACGTCTACCGTTGGAAAGAGTGCGAAGACTGTGAACGACTCATATATTCAGCCTACCGCTAAATCGGTATGCTCTTATTTTCCAAGATTCACCCGTTTTTCTATTGCTCTAAACTAACATGCATCCTTTTCCAGATAGCGGAATCCGACTTCGCAGCCCAAGCCCGCCAACATGCCACCCAACTTGGCCAAACTGTCCAAGTCGCGCCCGCGGTGCGGCTGGTCACTTTCAGCGATTCGTAGAAGGCCCAGACGAGAACAACGCCGGTCGTCGTCGCGCCGAACCCGAACGTAAGGATTTCTGGGACGACTTCTCCACCCTCGCACAGGAGGACAGTCACCGCAGAAATGCCTCCCGCTCCAGCGCCATCGGAACTGCAGCCATGAAACCCGGCCCTACCCCTAGTCCCAGCGCCGCGACAGGGAATGCACCATCAACGACCGCGAAGGAAAAGGATGACTGGGACAATGATTGGTGATCTACTTTTGGAGTTGTAGAATACATGGCTGAAGCGTAGTGCATTTAGTGTTTTGTCGCGTTTCTTCGATTGCCGGGCAATGGTTATATATATTTTTTCTTTGGGATCGCTCGGGCCCCATGCTTTTGCGTGTTTTAGATGCGATGACAGTGTTCACTTGCCGTTCATTTGGATATAGTTCTAGGTGAGCTGGTTTATATTCTTGTTTGACGAGGTCTGGTTATTAGCATACCTCATTTAGATCGTTGCTTAGATTGCATAGATGCTAGCGAGGAACCTAGTTCAGCAGGCTGGATCCACTATCCATTCCATGACGCTCGGACACCAGATTGCAAAACGATCTAGTACTACTACTATACATGTATCCCATTATATTTTGTTCTTACATAAATGACTTCCTGAACACCAATCCAGAGCAGAGAAACAGTATGGTACGGTACTGTGCAATGCTACAAAAGCCAAATCACGACTTAGAGAAAGCCGCCTCTCAGCTCGGCAAGCACGGCCTTCTGTCTCGGCGCACTCATCTTCTCGAACCGATCGACGCTCATGACGAACGTGCCGCGTCCTGCGCTTAGACTGCGCAGGTGTTTGAGATACCCGACCATTTCTTTGAGGGGTACCTTTGCCGTGATAGTTCGGGCTGTGTTAACTGAGGAGGGGAGATCGATTCCCACAGTGGATGATTGGAAGGGGTCAGGCGGGGCGTAGACCTTGTTCGGGTCGATCGGGGGAAGGAGGTCGTCTGTTGGGTTTGAGACGATGTCCGTCGCTGGGGAGGGTGTTTCCTCGTCTAGTGAGATGATGTGGCCGCCGCGGGATGAAGAGATGTCGTGCACGACGGCGCCGAGACTGGCTTCGTCGACGCTGATGATCACGTTCATGACGGGCTCCATTAGGGATGTGCCCGCTGCGGAGGGGAGGTCCCGGAGGGCGGAGGAGGTTGCGAGACGCGCTGCGGCGGAGAGCGCGGAGGGGGTGGAGTCGTTGCCGAAGAGGTGTTCGGCTGGGTCGAAGGTGAGGGTGACGCGGGTGCCGTGCATGGGGAAGGTGAACTGAGGACCGCGGGCTAGTGCCGCGAGACAGCCGTTTTGGAGGGCTGTGCGAAGGGCGTGGACGTCCAGACCTGGGGGTAGGAGTGAACTCTCCTCGGTGCCCTTTTTGTTCACTTCGACTTCGAGGCCCGGCGCTTGGATGATGATTTGGTTGCCGTCTGCGGTTTGGATGGAGAGTGCCGATGGGTCGGGTTCCGAGGTGGTGTCTTCGGGGTCGAAGGGCTCGACAGTTGCGGTGCAGCCGGCTTTGCCTTTTCGGCCGGCGATTTCTTTGTCGAAGATCTTGGTTACCGGGCCCGAGGCGCCGAGGGGGCATTCGCGGTAGCCGATTTCGATGCGGCCCATAGATGCTTTGGCTTTGAGGTCGTTGAGGAGGCGGTCTCGCGCGATTTCGAGGTGCAGTTCGCCCATGCCGCTGAGGAGGGTTTGGCCGGAATCTTCGTCGACGGTGACGTGCAGGCTGGGATCCTCGCGGAGGAGCATCGCGAGCGACTCTTGAAGTCGCTTCTCCTCGCTTAGGCTGTGGGGTTCGACGCTGGCAAAGAAGACCGGGGGTGGGACGTTGATCGGACGGAGTTGGAGGGTGGTGAGAGGTTCGGGGGGCGTGGCTTTGTTGCCGGAGTAGGTGACTAGGGTATCTCCCGTTCGGGTGTGTTTGAGGCCAGCTACGACTCCGATGTGACCTTCGGGGATGGAGTCGACCTCGACAGCGTCATTCGCATACATCTTCAGCAGACGAGGTGCCCTCTCTGACACATTCAGGTTGGTGTTGTACAGGACGCTGTTTCGGTCGAGAGAGCCGGAATAGACGCGGACGTACACTAGAACACCGCGCTTGGGGTCATTGACGACCTTGAAAGCTAAGGCGCAGCTTGGAGCTTTTCAATGGCGTGGCGGGACTCTGCTTGAATGGCCGACTTCTTCTTATGCTTACCCTTGGCCGAAGCTGCCTTCTCGCCTTGTTCGACTAGAAGATCGCCGGAAAGCAGGCGTCGGAGGCCACCCTTAACTCCACCAATGCTGACCTCTGGTTCAGGAGTCTCAGGAGGGCTAGGGAGTAGATTCGTCACAGCATCGAGTAGAGGCTGGACACCAATGTTTCGAAAGCTAGCACCAGCGAAGATGGGAATGATTTTCCTTCCCTGCTCCTCCAGGAGGCATCTACGCAGACTCTCGAGAATGTCATTCGCGGGGACTGCCAAATGGTCCTCCTCACAGTCGAAGAACTTCTCCACCATGGCTTCATCATGCTCACTCAGCAGTTCAATGAGGGCAACCCTCGCGCGCTTGAGCTCCTGTGCAAGCTGGGGTTCTTCGCTAGCCAGCTGTTCAAGGTTGAACATCTTGACAGACTTGCCGTCTCCTTCCTCCCAGCGAAGGCCTTGGAGATTGATAGCGTCGGCAATACCAATAAAACGTCCGTTTCCTCCTTCGAACCAGGGAATCTGACAGACAGCAGGCCATCCGCCTAGCCGGGAGGCAACCTCTCGGACCGTCCGGCCAAAGGCAGCCCCATCTCTGTCAAGCTTGTTCACGTAAACAATCCGGGGAATCCGGTAGGTACTTGCTTGGTGCCAGACTTTCTCTGTTTGAGCCTCGACGCCGGCCACACCGTCTAGAATGCATACCGCGCCATCTAGAATGCGCAAGGATCGCATGACTTCGAACGTGAAGTCCGCGTGTCCAGGGGTGTCAATGAGGTTCACGGTATGAGATGAGGCAGACCTTGGCGTCTGTGGTTCCTGCGGAGTTGTATTTCCATCACCGGCCGTTTGAGGCGGCCAATGGAAAGTAATAGCGGCAGATTGAATCGTAATTCCTCGAGCACGCTCAGCAGGAAGGAAGTCGGTGACTGTGGAGCCTTCATCCACGTCGCCTATCCTTCTTGTAAACCCGCTGTAATAGAGCATACGCTCCGTAGTGGTAGTCTTGCCGGCATCGATGTGGGCGATGATACCGATGTTTCTGGTTCGGTCGAGGACATCCGCTTGCCATTTGGACGTAGAAGTTGAGAACCCACTACTCCGAAGCAGGTGTAGCCTTCCGGCACTTTTGATTACATGCGGATTCAGCCCGAGCCGGGTGATAGACACTGATTGGAGTCGCGCTACTTGGTGAGCGCGCAAGAGAGGAGCCGCGACCATTTTCGCAATTGCCCCTGTAACATCTGATGATTGAGTGATACAGTTTATCTGCTTGTATGCATGTTATATTACAAGCAAGCAGCTAAGAAGTGGGGCCCTTCAGGGACGTTTGCGTAGGTACAGCTCGAAAAGTGAAGTTCTCCAAATATCGGATGTCACTGATGTGGATGCCTGGCCAATCAGGTGTCGGCGGCCGCAACGACGTAACGTTTCGGCTTGTCTGTCTCTTCGGGTTGACATTCCTTCTGCCTCCCACTCCACACTCCCGCATCCTTAATTTGCCCTTCACAGTACCCTGCGGCTCTCAATTGTTTTCTGAGGGGATCCAGGTAGGCGTCATCAATTAGCCGCAATAACTTTCCGAAAATGCATTGCTGATATTTATGTGCCTGCGATGCAGACGTGGTCTGTCGGAGCCATACTACTACTTACTCTCCCCAGCAAAGCCAGACAGCCATGGATTACTCCGCTATATCGCATGACCCCGACCACCCCGCGGGTACCTCGCCTTGGGCTTCTCCCCGACCTACCCAAACTACGTTCCCTACCTCGAGTACCAACGACATTCCTTCCGACCCGTTAGCTCCCCCTCAGCCTCCGTACGATGCCGCTTCCCAGCCCGAAAGTTCTCTGCCTCCCGGGGAGGAGCAGACCGAGTCACCCGACCTCTCGGAACGACTACAGAGCGCGCAGCTAGGCGACCCAGATTACCATAATGAGCAATCACAGTATGCCGCGCAACAGCAACAATATGCCCAGCAACCTCGGTCTCAGCTCCCCGCTAGGTATCAAACCGGGGCCAGACAGCCTGCCAGGCCAGCTCCTCTATACAAAGTTCAGGCGAAGATTACAAGCTTAGAGAGGACGGGCAAAAAGGATCCCATTTTGCGTTTCGATGTTCACGTGAGCAAGCTCCCTATACTACTGGTTGTCCACCGTCATCGCAACTAACCCCCCTACGCACAGACCAACATCCCCAAATTCAGAACCACTCAATATCGCGATGTCCGCCGTACCCATGCAGAGTTTACGAAGCTCGCCGAGCATTTGATGTCGGCGAACCCCGAGGCGATGGTTCCTGCGGTGCCTCCTCCATTGACCCCCGCCGGCGCAGGAACTGAGGAGGATGAGATTCGCGTGAAAGCGTCCATGCAGAAATGGTTGAACACCGTCTTGGGTAACGAGGTTCTGATGCAGGATGACGAGGTCGTTCTATTCGTTGAGAGTGATTTCGGCTATAGTCCGGTTGTTCGGATGAAGCAGCCTGCGACGGGTATGCGGAGAAAGGTTTTGAAGCAATTCGCACCTCCCCCGGATGATACGCCTGAGCTACAGAATGCGCGACCCGTGGTGAAGATGTTCTATCTAGGGAGCATGGATGCTAGTCACAAGGTTGACCGTGTAGTCAAGGGCCGACGAGGTATGTGAGCGCGAGCGCTGTGGTGCAATAACGGCAGCTAATCAAATGCTGTAGGACTCGGCCTTGCCGAATCAGACTTTGGCGTAAAGCTGGGGCAGATGCATGTACAAGAGACACACCCAGGCCTGGCCAATGCTTACCGGAAATTGGGAAAGGTCATTCAGACAGTCGGGGATTATCACGCAGTCCAGGCTACCGCAGAGGCCACCACCATCGGGGAGCCGTTGAACTATCACTCATCTGACGCTTTTATCGTGAAGGAGACCCTTACTAACCGTCATATTTTGCTTCGGGATTTGATTCAAGCTCAACAAGTCACCCGCAGCAAACGCGCAGCTGCAGACCGGCTGAAAGTCAGCTCTTCTGTTCGTCCAGATAAAGTCGATGAGGCGATCAATGCTCTAGATGAAGCTCAGAGCCATGAAGACTACCTCACAAAGAGGACACACCGGGTGACATCAAACCTACTTCAGGAGAAGCGCCGCTGGTTCGACCGGACCACGAGCGACCTCTTGGCCAGCCTACGTGAGTACACGCTGCGTCAGATTGATGCCGAACGTCGTACCCTTGCAACTCTGGAGAGTGTTCGTCCAGATATCCGGGCGATTGATTCATCTGGTGGACTGAGTCGACTGGGCCGTGAATCACACCCGACTGTGCGGCGGCCAAACCTTGGTTCAAGCCAGGGACCCAAGGGCGACGCGTGGAGCGGCATCCCTCGTCGCAGCGAAGGCCTTGGGCGCAGCATGAGTGGCAGCATGATCTCGCCTACTTCGGAGGTCGATGAGGAGGTGAATGGGCAGGGCAAGGGAAGGGTGCGCTCTCCCAGTGGCGTCAGCACTACTGTCGAGGAAGATGATGAGGATCGACTGGATGCTCGCAATGCGGCGAGCCGGCTAGCTACCAGCACCTTCTGAACTTCTCCTGTAAATTACGGGTATTCATGACTGTGAGATTCCCCTGTGACCGCCGTACCTTTTTCCAATGATCAACCTGTTGAGTCCGGGACGAAGATTGTTTCAGTCTCAAATTGTGTTAGATGATGTTCGATATGCTTTCTCCCTTACTGTTGTTGCATTGCGCTCGAGATTCCTCTCGGATCTGATTATGATGTTCTACCGTGTCTGTGACCTGCGTAGTGGATGAATCATGTGATAAGCAAATAGGTATATACACTCAAAACATGCCCTAATCAGCCCAAACTCCGTGTATCCATACTATCCAACAACTCCACGCCCAGCAATGTCAACGCCTTCCCCGATTAGCTCCATCACTGAACCTCACAAACCCATCATTCGGTAACTGAAACCACGCCGCCTTCTCCTTCACAAAGAAATGCGCACAGGGCTTCGGAACCACCCTGTCGAAATCATCGATGGTGCCGGCAGCAATGTACAGTCCCCCGGGCTCCGAGTCATACGCCATACTGACACTCGATCCACACTGGGGACAGAACCCGCGCGTAGCGAAATGGCTAGATCGCCGCTGTGTCGGTGCCTCGTGGGTCCAAGTGATGCTCGTCGCAGAAAAGAATGCCCAGGTTTGGTAGGGTCCGCCGGATTGTTTGCGGCAGGTTATGCAATGGCAGTTTGTTAGTTTCGTGGGCAGGGCGCTCGCCGTGTAGGTTATGTGCTCGCAGGCGCAGGTGCCAGTCAAAGTGGTGGCCTCCATTTGTTTTTCTTTTTTTTAACCCCTGGTTGTCTACCCTGGGACTTGTTTCTTTCCTTTTGATCTTTTTCTGTTGTCTTTGTAAGCGCTTGAGCTGGATTAAGTAGTGGTACAAATATTTAGTGAGGACTTCTGAGAGGATGAGGTCGGGGTGGGCAACTCGTATAAATTCTTTGTGCTGAAGAGTTTTGCTAGGCTATTGTCCTGGGGTCTTGAGTCGAGAGCCCATTGTTGTAAAGGAATCTCTGCTTTTGACAATAGTAAGAGGTTGAACTGATAGATATTGAGGTTTGGGGCGCAACTTGGAGGGTTCCATACTCATCTTGCTTCTCTTGATTGGCTGCTACGGATTGATCTATGAAATAGTGAATAAGTTTGGGATAAAGCATTAGGGCTTGGCACCGTGGAACTGCATTAAACACTGATCGGATAAGGCGACAGCATCTAAGTATAGTATCTTGAGAAAGACAAAGAAACACGGGACGTAGCCCCCCCACTGAGGGTGGAGGCATGTAATAGGATCAGATATACACTCCTTACTTCAAGTTCTTCTCTAAGAGCCCACTTTTCGCTGTTGCATCCGCGCAGTCGTCATAGAGTTTCTGGATATACCCGTAACCTGGTATCTTGATAATGGAGGTAGCGAGGGAAACTATATTCTCGTACTATAGCCAGTGGTTAACAACGCGTACCAAGCTGCAATCCTCAAAGGGGAGATAGGAAACTTCAACTTTCAGGCTACTCTGATGACCTTCCAATCCTGGAGAAGACCGATGGTAGGACGCCATTCACTAAAGTTGCACATATTTGTAAAGCACATGTTCGCAAATGCAGACAAAGGCAAATCTTGGTCAAAGGTTTGCAGCTTGCATGTGGCAAAGGAGGGTATTTCCTCTGTGCGCCTGGCAGGAGATTGTGCTTTGTGCAGAGTGAGAGGAGAATAATGAAGCAGCAGCAATTTTGATCGCTCTCGCTTTCTAAGGTAGTGGACCTTTGAGATGTAAATAGCCTACCCCCAGGTTCGACTTCTGTGGCGATGAATTGGACTAGACGTCCTTGAGAATTAATTGCCTGAGGGCTGCAGAACGAGCTGTCACCCATTAAGAGCCCACTTGCATGGGACTCTCGCAACTTCTACTTAGTTGCTAGCCTCAACATCACGCTCTGTACCCAAAGTGCTTCGTAAGTCAGAGAGGGACGTGTTGCCAATATCATGTTGTTTCAACATAACGCAGCTTGGAATTTGGGACGATTTCTGTTATGGGTCGTAGACACTGACATTCACGCGGACGTCGAAAGTGGCCATATTGTGAGGTATACTTTCGAAAAGGCCCTGGGTAACTCACTCGTAACTGTCACCTTGTGGCATGAGGTTCTAGGTTCTAGGGCGAGGGAATTACTACAACTTTGAACCGATTGACAAGAACAGGAGTCATCTTTTATTTATACTCCTAGATAGCTAGCCTACTAATAATAAGAATAAGTCTCTATACTGTTTCAGCCTTAACGCTAACTGCCTATGGTTGTGGGATATGTTTCATAGTAGACTGAAGCCCTCAGGCTGCATAGAATAATCCATAATGACTAACCATATCGTGGTGGAGAAGGTACGTGACAGCATTCTCTTGATCCTCTTTTTTTTTT